GGGGCCGCGGGCCCCGGCCGGCCGGGCCCGGAGGGAGAGCGAGTTGGGGTGATGGGGAGCCCGGGGTGCAGGTGCAGGGTGCGACGCGCGTGCCAGGTGCTCCGGGGACGGGGCGGTGTGTGCACGGCGCCCGCTGTGAAGCGGGCGGGTCTGTGACTCAAGTGACCCGCGCGCCCCCTGGTCCTCCTTCTCGGTCGAGCTGGTGCTGACAGATCGCGTGTGCGCTTAGCTTGGGGCGCTGCTCTGAGCCGCTGCTTCCCCCCTCCCATCCCCCGCACGTCACTGGCCTCTAGGATGGAGGTGAGGGCACAATTCCTCCGGCGCCCCGGTGCGCCTCAACTTTCCCGGTGTTGGCTCGCCCTTCTGGGTAGCGAACCCGAGCGCGTCCCACCCAAGGTCGACCAGCCTCGGTCGCGTTTACTTTTCAAAGGTCGTGTGTACCCAGTTTGAGCGTGGAGAGGAGGCAGCGGGGCGGTCTCTGTCCAAGGACTCGGTACCCAAGGCGGGAGAAGAGGTCCTTGGGGACCGATCTCTTTCCTGGCTGAGGGATCGGAGTTGAAATTGGTCATTTTCAGAGCCTCTTGTAACTTCTGGGCCCGGTTGATTTCGTTCTGGGTTGTCCCGGCGGTGGTGGCAAACCCGAGCAGGTAGGCAAGGTTCCTGGAGTTCAGTGCAGGGAACTATCGGAGCGAGCTCTGCCGTCGCTGCGGGAAGGATGGGATGCGAGACAGATCCCGAGCCTATTGGCCGTGGAGGGACCGTAAGAACCGAGTTAGGATCGGGAGGTCGAGAACTTGGGTATCTTCAAGGGGATTAGGGTTTGTGGCCCCATAAGCGTGTCCCGAGAGGTGGAGGACCTCTAGCTCGAGGTGCCCGCTGACTTCTGGCCTGTGGGGAGTCCAGTGTCACGTGTTATGATCCACTTTCCTTCTCGTCCCGGGTCGGTGATCTGGAGGGACTTTGCAGGGGTCATAGGTAAAAATGTGCTTGGGGAGACCCCCCAGACGCATAAGGGGCGACATTCCAGAGTCAACTACCCCTGTGCCCTAGGTTATGGCTTTTCCTGTTTCCTTTCCTTGGGAGGGAAAGGCAGATGGTATTGGGTTATGCAGAAGCGACCTCTGAGAAGCCCTGTACATAACGGGACCTTTCTCCCCCAGTGAAATGCCTCCGGCGATCGGTACCTTTCTATCCTTGGGCTGTGGTTAACACAAACCCGGTGGACTTCGCTCCAGGTGCGAATGGAGGCTTCTCAAACCCAGTAGGATAGGGTGTATGTGTAGGGCAATTAGTGAGGTTAAACTGCCGATCTTTCCCCTACTGAGGTTGAGGCTGCTTGGGGTTTAAATTTAACTCCTGCAGTGAAATTAGGGCTGCTGGACCTGATGTAACCATCTCTCTGTTTGTTTGCCACCTCCCTCTATACTCGAGTATTGCAATTGCCATCCAGGAACACAGTTCACAAAAAGCTGTTGCTTTAGGAAATTAACCTTCCATGCTCGTTTAACTGCAAAATCCTTCCCAAATTAGTAACCACGTGGTTTTTTGTTTTGTTTTGTTTCTTTTAAACGTTTAACTTTAGAAAGAGTCTTAGGGCTACACCTACCCATTCCTCTCTTAAAGGTACAGAGCATCTAGACCTCTGAAAGAGTTCTCATATCAAATTCTTCTGTTATTGGCATTTAAGTGGTTCACCTGCAGATTATTTAGGACTTTTTCAGAGCCCAAGGAACAAGTGAGGTTATGTTTGGGGAGCTTTTTGGACTTGTTGAACCTTCTTTTCACCTCTAACCTGTTTTGTAGGTTCTGGGTAATTCCTGGGTGTAGTCTTGTGAAATATGAAAAAGTGGCCTTGGGTTAGAGGAGGCCCTCGTACCCTACAGGTATGCAAATCACTAAAGCTTCAGTCATTTTGCTAACTCAGTAGGCCTTGTTCTGTAGGATATGCAGGTGGCTATCCAACCCAGTGGGTGAGATCTGATCTAGGTCTAGTGGGTTTGTGTCTGCGTGGCTCTCCCATCTCCCAGCTGTTTGTAGAAATTGCATTCACACTTGGCCACTGCAGGGCGACAGCCTAGATACGGGTATCTGTTGTACATTGCCTGATCAGATGCTGAGAGCAATGTGTCGGGTTGCTGAGCATCAATACTTTAAAGCAGTGTCTTGCTAACCGGTAAACCAGATTATACTTGGACCTGGCCGAGAGGCTGGTCACAGCCATAGTTTATGGAGGAAGGTAGTTTTAACTTCCGATTTTCCCTTTCTCATCCTAAATATGGATGGAAATCATAAATTTGAGACTTGGGACTATGTCTTGGTATGTGGCAGGCACTTAAGTATAGTATCCTTCACTCCCAAGGAATCCCTGTGTTTGACTCAATCATTTGATTGTTTAAGTATAAAAGCACTCCCTCCCCTAGCCTCTGACCTAGTAATTTGCTTCGAAGGAAAGAGGAGACAAATTGATTTCTCCATGCTTTGCCACCTAGCCTCCTGGGTCAACATGTCTTGATGAAACTGGCATTTTAAGGCATCGGAGCTCATGTGCCTGGAGAGCTGCCCTGTTTTCCATGGCCACTCCTTCCTAGTCTTCCGTGAGTCTGCCATGCCTGGGCCTCTCTGCAGCCCAGTCTTTTCCTGTTTGAGGGAAGTTTGCGTCTGGCATTTGTTTCTTTGAATAGTCATCCTAGGAACTTTATTATAGGGAGGTGCTTGGGTTCTGTGGGCCCCCTGCCCCTCTGAAATATATAATAATGTTTGGAAGTTGCTAATCTCTATAGTGGGGCATATTTAAGTCCTAAATCTTGCTTTATAGGGCAAGTTTTGATTCTCCTTCCTGGTGTAGCCAGTCTCTTCGTCTTTCTCAAGTATTTGGGATTGAATATAGGGCCCTTATGCATGTTAAGTACTGTACCATTGAGCGTTAGCCCTAAGTGGTTTTTTTTTTGTTTGTTTGTTTGTTTTTGGAGACAGGGGTCTTGCTATGTAACTGAAGCCAACCTAAACCCACAATCCTCCTGCCTCAGTCTTCCAAGTGCAGGGATTACAAGCACACAGTATCACAGTTCACCTTTCCCTTACCTTTGTTTTCCTCCTCCTGATGGTGCATGTCATTCTGTCCAAGTTTTTGCCATTTGGATGCTCTTGCAGTTCTTATTTGTAAACATTCTGTTCCCTGTCCTGTATACTGGCCACTTGGGTTCACTCAGTCATGTCATTGAGGCCCATTTGCATCAGGAGCAAAGAAAGGCAACAAGGTGACTTCTGGAGGAAAAGCATGTAGTGTTCAGGATAGAAGGAGGCCTGTCACTGCTGGCCTTAGCTGGCAGAGTTCAGGGCTTGCTGTCAAGCTCCGACCAGCCTATTTATTGGCCGGTAAAAGAGACTTGGTGAGTTAAAGGCATTAACGGTGTTCTGATTATGGGCTGGCGGCGGGTGGGGGAGCAAGAGAGCGCAAGTGAGAGTGCTGGTAGTCTCAGGCTTATACCTAAAAAAGTATTCTGCTTATGCCTTGGGAGTTAGGGCAAGGTACTTGGGGGCTGCTAGAGGAATGTGGTTGGACTGCCACGCTGGGCAGTGCAAGTCATGGACATTTCATCACCATAAAGTTTTGGTTGGTGTAGGTCTAGAATATTCTTTGTCCTACTCCAAAATCTTACTTGTCGAACTTGTAAATCTCTATAAACCACATGTTTGGGTTTTAGAATTAATAGTTCACAAATCCACTGCTTTGGTTAACAAGTCTTTTTTCCTTTTTTTTTTTTTTTGTGGTTTTTCTCGAGATAGTGTTTCTCTGGAACTAGCTCTTGTAGACCAGGCTGGCCTTGAACTCAAAAAGATCCTCCTGCCTCCACCTCCTGAGTGCTGGGACAAAAGGCGTGCACCACCATCGCCTGGCCTAAAAAGTTTTTCTTTTCATGGAATGTTAAACAAGTTCTGGTCTACAGTAGTAGGGAGGTAGTCCCTTAGGAAATTGAGAAATGAATTTAGTGAGAGGCCTGTGGACACGAGCATGGAGTGGAGCAGTCAGACTTGAGAGCTCTGCTCATTACTATAAAGGGCCTTATTGGTTCTCTAAGACCTGTCTGAGTCCTTGGTCTCCAAAAATTATGTCACCAGACCTGTGTGAAACCTTTCTGCTAAAGCAGTTTGAATTTTTATCCCGTGCCTGTAATACTTTTTTTTGAGACAGGGCCTGCCTGTGTGTCTCAGGCATGTACTATATAGCCCCCAGCTGGCCTCAGATCATTGTCAGAACCTCCCAAGTGCTGGGATTACAGACATGAGCTACTGTGTCTGACTTCCTACCAGTCCATCTTAATGTTAAGAGGTGTCCTTTTACACAATGGGAAAGGGATGGCCTCGGTGTTGATCCTGAAATGTTGATGTGGGAAGAACCTGTGGAGAGTGGACAAATGACTAGTTAACCCCACATAGGGATCACAGGGCAGACCAAAGTGTGGATACCATTTAAGTCCAGCTTGGTGAACCAGTGAGTTTTATTGGGGCTACTTGCAGAAATAGAGTGAGGGGCTATTTACAGGAGCAGAAACGACTCAAAGACAGTTTCATCACCAAGGCTTACCCCAGCACGTGTGACAGCTCAAAGAAACTGGAAACCTGGAGCACACTGCACAGCCTACAGGCAGCTCAACAGGTTGGGGAGTGTCCTTTCCAAGTGACTCTGGTCTAAACTTCTTCCCATACAGCTTGGCTGCTTTCAGGCTTCCTCCAGGCGGCTAGTGTGGTCTCAGAACCTTCTCTGCTGCTCTCTTCCAAGTCTTCCTTGTGGCTCAGCCTTTTTTCCCTCTGAGAGAGACTCTCAGCTTTTGTAATTTACTCTCAGGGAGGAAGGAGCCTAGTGAATCTGTTCAGTTTCAGGGAGTTCTTAGAGCTAATTTTTAGAGGTTTACATCCCTGTTTAATTAAGTAGCTCCCCTGCAGGATGGAATGTTTTGATCTGGGAAGAAACTTGAATCAGGTCCTGGGTCTGCTTTGTTTGGACCTTTCCAAAGTAGCCTTGAATTTAATGATACAAACGTGCAGCCTGCATTTGATGAGCACCTATTAGAATGTTCTATATTAATTTATTTATTTAATGAAATAGGGGTCCTACTGTGTTGTCATGGCTGGTCCCAGGCTCCTGGGCTCAAGGAATCTCCTTCAGCTTCCCAAGTAGCTAAGACTACAGGTGCATATCATTATAATTACTTAGGTGGTTTCTTCCTTCCTTCCTTCCTTCCTTCCTTCCTTCCTTCCTTCCTTCCTTCCTTTCTGTTTTTCGAGACAGGGTTTCTCTG